ACTCTCTCGTATTAAATGGAGTTAAAAATAAATTTTATTGTAAGATTTAAATTATCAAAAAGTAAATATTTAAAAAAATAAATTGATCTATACTTGATATAATTGTATTTGTTGATACAATTGGTGTGATTATATTTATTAATATATTAATTTGACACGATTGTATTTTTATTGAGATTCTTGATACAATTACATTCATTTATATGTTTAATATAGATAAGGGAATATACAATTTAATACGATATTGACAAAATAGGTAAATCTGAGAATTCATATGCAACTCATATAAGTGAAATAAAACAAATTTTTTGTTTTTGTTTTAGAAATTAAAAAGATTTAGAGGTCGATTAGTGGAAGGTGTGTGAGTGTGTTGGGAGGGGAGGGTAAATTATTATTTTTTGAAAATATAGATTTTTCTTTATTTCTGAAAAACAAAATTTTTAGGGGTACGTTGGTGGAAGGTGGGTGGTGGTGTATGAGCGGAGGGGTAATCTTTTTTTTAAAAAAAATAATATTTTAAAAATGGATTAGAACAATTTTGTCAAACCATATTTGACCTAATTCATATTTGCCCATATCTATTATATTTAGATGAATTGTAATCCAAACAATTTTTTCCAATCCATATTCAACCATCCAAATACGATCCAATCAAACTAGGGGTGTACATAACTGGATTGATTAGGATTTTTCAAATATCAAACCAAACTATTCGTGTAAAATTTTTAAATAAAATTCAGATTTTTTTGGGATTTTTCAACCTTGAGTTGGTTCGGATTTTTCAAATACCAAACTAATTAAACTTCAGATTCTTTCGGTGAAGTTTGCATACAAATATATAATAAACTTGTGCTCAAATATTTTTTTAGTCCAACCAAAATACAATTATCTAAGATGTTTCTTAAAAAAACAACACAAAATATGAGATGAATATTGATGACACAAAAATATTCAATAAAATATAATAATGAAATCATCATATAAAATAAATATTGTAAAGTAATAATGAAAATAATCATAATTTCAAAAAATACAAAATCATGCAAAAATAAGTCTAATAAGTATTAATTACATTACTAAATATTTAAGAAAAATTAAAATTAAATTATGTATTATAATTGTCTAAAATAATGTAAAACTGAAGAATAAATATTCAATATTACTGTCATTCTTAGTGTTGATTTGGTTTTCTTATTGCATTAGTATTAATTTGATTTTGATTTATGTTTTATTATAATTATCAACATCTATGTTCTATAATTTTTATTGTACCATTCTGAATTCTAAATTTTAAACTCGAAATAATATATTAAAAGATAAAAACTATGAAATAGTATAAGAAAATATTTTAAAATGTTATCAAAGTAAATATTTTTATGGATAAAATAAAATTTTAAAATTACATATATAATGTCGGGTTGGTTTGGTCTCGAATTGTTTCTTTTTAGTTGAAACCAAACCAACCCAATTATAGTCGGATTTTTTTTCGATATCAAACGAAGTCAAACCAAATCACTAGTTGATTTTTTTTTATGTGACTCGATTTACGTTTTGATTCGATTTTCGATTTGATTTTGTACATCCATAAATCCAACCATTTGCCCCACTACTCGTCTCTCTACTCCTTCTAACATATAACTATAAATATCAAAAAAGTTGTAGCTATAAAATTCTAATCAAGCGTAAATTATAATATTCACTTTGTTCCTTATTAATTGTCCACTTTTAAATTGACACACCTATTAAGAAAATAATTATTGACACGATGAATTTATCATTTTTACCAATATTAATTATGAATTGGTGAATCAAAAACTAAATTTTCAATAAGTTGTAACTTTTGTAAAGTAATAAATTAAAAATATAATCAATAAAAATATTTTGTCATTTTGTGATTTTGTCAAAATGAATAAGTAATTTTTGGGGATAACTAAAAAAAATAAATTGATAAGTAATTAAAAATTAAAGAACAGAAGGAGAAGTCCAAATGACCCGTATAGTGATCCTATCCTTAAATTGTGGTTGGCCCGTGTGGTATTCATAATTGGGCCTGTCGCCCTAGAGAATTGGACCCGGCCCTTACTCAACGTAGTCTAGATACCTTTAGAGACATGTGCTAACTGTACCTTAACGGCAAAAGGCGGCGGTTGCGGCGGCGATTGGTTTCGTGACCGTCCCCGTTGCCTGTTCATCTTCGGATCGGCCTGTTTCCGCCGTTTTTCTGTCGCACCATCTACTGAAAGCTTTTAATGGCAACCAAAACCATAAATCTCAACATTGAAGACGACTGTCTCTGCTCGGACATCACTACAACTTGCTCTTTTCCTTTGGAACAGAAGGATGTAGAAGAGACACAGTCGTTGTCTCTGAATCGTCCAAATGGATACTTGAAAGGGGAGTCGCGGATAGAGAGAGCGTGGTCTCATTGGAAGAAGCTAGGCGAGCCCAAACTTATAGTGGCACCAATGGTTGACAACTCAGAGCTTCCTTTCCGTCTTCTATGTCGAAAATATGGTGCAGAAGCGGCTTATACTCCTATGCTTCACTCGCGTTTGTTCAATGAAGATGAGAAGTATCGGGCTATGGAATTTTCCACTTGCAAGGTATCTACTTGTTTGTAATAAGTGTCATGTCAACATTTATGTCATCGTTTTACTTGAAAATCCCCATTCTCCAAGAGCCGGTGGTAAAATAACGATGCCCCTGTTGAACATATTATTGTTGATTTATCCAGTTTTTGTATCTAATTGTTTAACATGAGAATTGTTCACCTATGTTCTACCTAAGTCGTACTAAATAATTTCATTTGGATTGGTGAAATTTCCATGTAAGTAAATTTGCCTCATGCTTTGTGCACATTGTTCGACACTACACTATTTCAGCTATTTTTGGTTTATTTTATGCAGGAGGACCGTCCACTTTTTGTTCAATTCTGCGCAAACAATCCAGACACTTTGCTGGAAGCAGCTCGAAAAGTCGAACCCTATTGTGACTATGTGGACATCAACTTTGGGTAGCCTTTTTTTTTCAATGTTTCCTAATCAAGATGCATAGATTTTTCTCATATAACATGTCACTAAAACATCATTCCACTTGAGAAATCTATTTCTTCATCATATACTCTATTCCTACCTGAAGTTTTTTTGAGCAAAGGATAATGGTTTGTCAAGAAACATGTTGAGTATTCAACATAATGAAAGTTGCACTAAAATGACTGTTCTCACACACATTTGCTTCTTGATTCCACTTTTGGGGGAGGAGAAGGGTAACAAAAGGGCCACTTAAGATATATTTGTTAGCTCTACTGGGGTTGTAGACATTTTTGAGCACCGTATCTCCACCCTAAAGTGAAAAATCTGTGTTTTTAATATTATTTTCTAAACTCTTTCTATGATATGATTAAATAGGATTGGTCTGATTGTGAGTTTTGGTTTGAAATAGTCCATTTTATTAGCAGTTTAGCTAATTGCTGTTTCTTTTAAAACTGTCTCTGAACCTACCCAAACCCAATCCTAACTGCTAATTGCCATGTCAGATAGAAGGCAGTGGAAGCAAAACAAGATCAGGAATAAAAATAGTTAGGCATTCCCCTAGTATTATCAAAGAGTAAGTAGCAAAGACAAGCTCCTAAACCATGAAAATCAGTTGGTAACATTCCAATTCTTACATTGATGGATTTGGTATGTTATCCAGTTGTGGTGTTCCAATGGGATTAGAAATTGAACAACGGAATTAGGAAAGGTTCAGTATAAACATCATTCCGATGACTCCAAGAACTTAATATACTAGCATAAATCTGATTAGCAACTTGTATAAATCAAATGAAGTGTAAATTAAAGTCTGAAAACAATGGAATAAGTTCCAATACATGAATGATAGACCATAATTGGCTCTATATATTTCTTTTTCCACCTGCCTTTTGAATTCATGTGCTTGGGTTATGTTGTTGTGAAGGGTATCCTTTAGTAATGGGTAGGAATAGAACAGCTTCTCATCCAGATCAAGATCTGTGGTTTTATTTTTGTTTCTGCATTTCCTTCTACGCTGTTTTATGCACGAAACTGCAGATTTGTTGCTATATTTCCTGGATCATCTTTGCACGTCTTTTCTATCAGCTCAGTTTGCTAAGGTACTACTTGCTATGAAGGTGTCCTCAGCGGATTGCAAAACGCGGGAATTATGGAGCTTTCCTCATGGATAACCTCTCTCTGGTCAAGTCTCTGGTAGAAAAGTTGGCAAACAATCTTAATGTTCCGGTATCATGCAAAATTCGAATTTTCCCTAATTTGCAAGATACACTTAGTTATGCAAAGATGTTGGAGGATGCAGGTTGTTCTCTTCTAGCAGTGCATGGGCGAACCAGGGATGAAAAAGATGGGAAGAAATTCAGAGCCAATTGGGAGGCCATCAAGGCTGTCAGAAATGTTGTTAGAATTCCTGTCCTGGCAAATGGTAATATAAGACACATCGATGATGTACACAGTTGCTTGGAAGAAACTGGTACCGATGGGGTACTTTCAGCAGATCCTCTTCTTGAGAATCCAGCCCTCTTTGCTGGATATCGAACTGCTGAATGGGGATTGGGTGTTGCAGGAATGAAGGAAGACGATAAGCTAGATCAGGCTGAGTTACTGATAGAATATTTGAGGTTTTGTGAGCGATATCCCGTGCCTTGGAGAATCATCCGTTCTCATGTACACAAGTTGTTGGGAGAGTGGTTTAGGATCCAGCCAAGTGTGCGAGAGGATTTTAACAAACAATACAAACTCACCTTTGAATTTCTTTATGATTTAGTGAACCGATTAAAGGAACTTGGGGTGAGAATACCACTTTATGTGAAGGATACTGAGCAGGCAGTATCTGCAAATTGACTTGTTGCTCAAGTTCTGTTCTAATCAGAAAGATGGAGCCAGCTATGGTGAATCACCAGGTTAGTTTTCTCACTCAAGCTCGTGCTTGAAAAATGTTGTACGCTCACTTATGTTGGTCAGAGTAGGTTCAGGGTTAAACGTATCTCAGCCTTTTACCTCATGTTTTGTATAATTATATACTGACATTTTTCTTGTATCATTGAGATAATTTACACTTATTTTTCCCGTACATCTTGATTTGTATCCTGACTAATTATTTGTAAGGTGACTAAATTGTTATGCAATAGAATGCACTTGGACTGATTATTCGGGAGGTTATGTTATAGTGTTTCGGTTGTATGATCAAAGACCTCCTTAGTTTGTTTTCCATTGAATGCGGTACTGGGTGCTTTTAGTGTCAAGAGCACCATGTAGACAACTTTATTCTCTGCTAGTTTGAAAAGTTGAAAGCGAGAACAGACTGAAGAGTGCCTGTCTTAAGTTTTGTATAGTGCGACATTGTATTTGGCACTCGGTTTATTTTTATGGTAAAGAAAAGAGGAGACACATTCAGACTTGCTCAGTGTCTACATCACAAAATTGTTGAGGACTTTGCTGACCAAATGCTTCCCATAAACAGCTCCTTCAAAACTCTTGGTGCCACCCGTCTTCTGTGAACACACATCCAATGGCTCTACTGCAGCATCGAAGTTGGGCTATAAGAGAAATAAGCAGAAACTAACATTAAATAAACCATACCCTCATTCTTTTACTTTAGTTGTCACAAAAGAAAAAGGAAGTGTTTAACCTCATAAAAGTAGGCTACACACACACGATATCTGGGAGTGTTATTGATGACACGGTGCAACGTTGATTCATAAATTCCATTTGATAAGATCTATCAATAGCCAGCAGACAAGAACAACTTAAGTAGAGGTGTGTAAAAATGATGCAAAAAAGTAAATTTCGTACCTTCAACATATCTCCTATATTGCAGACAAATGTTCCAGGAACTGGTGGTGCTGATATCCACTCACCAGATTTGTTTTTCACCTTTAAACAACTCAAATTGATTAGTAACGTATTTCATGTAAATAAGTACAACAAATTGTACCTGAAGTGCAACTATGTCATCATCTTGGTTGAGTAATGTCAATAGTCCTGAAATACAAGAAAACAAAAGTTTTGATGATTGCCAATTATCAATGCAGGAGAATATGAAATCCTTGTAAAGATATCAAGTGTTTACCATAGTCTGTATGCTCTCCACTGAGTCAAGGTGAAGATCACAGAAAGCAAAAGATCGATATTAGAAAAGATATAATACCAATAACATGACCATCCAATATTAACTTACCATCCAACAACATCATTAGCCTTATCATGTTCATCTAAGATGGATGAAGCAGGGTAACCAATTGTTCGCAAGACCCAAAATGGATCACCAGCTATTTTCCCTTCCATTTCATCTGCTGATCCACCCAACGCTAGACCAATTCCCCTCATTATCTTACGCGATACATCTGGAAAAAAAAAAGTCAGTCCCAATGTAGAAATATTTTGTAAGTTTAGACACACCAAGTATATCGAATGATCATGTAATTTAAAGAGAAAGGCACCTGTGCAAAGATCAATATAAAGCTCCATCAACTTTTTGAACTTTGAAGGGTTACTTGGCCTGCATATGGAAAAAAAAATAATAATGTTACTGAGGCCAAATAACAGAAAAAACACCAAACAAGTAGTAGTTACTTGTTAACCTACCATATGTTGGATCCTTGCATAACTTCTCCAAGATCTCCATACATCCCATGTTTTACTTCTCTATAGAACTGCAATCCCAAATGAGATTGGGATGAAATGCATCAAACATGATTTACAAATAGAAACAAACTACTCGATCACCTCTATCCCAATTTATCTGACACTCTTTTCTTTTTATCTGTCACAAAAAGAATGTCACTCTTTTATATTTAGACAAAGACAAAAATGTCTAAAACTTACATAACACCACAAGTTTTATAAAAGTCTTCCTTTTCTTTTTTTTTAAATCAAAAACTCATGTGTAGTCAAAGATTAGGACAGAGAGAGTACTAATTATTAAACAAAGCATTCCTATAATGTAGAAATTAAAAGAGAAGTTCACATGAGAAATGTTGTCCATAGCTGAAGAATGGTCTTCAAGTTAAACAGCAAAAACAATTTTTTTCAGTTTATATCAAACGTACATCAATAGCTTCTTGCATATCAGGTATGCCTTTAGTTATATTTTCTCGAAATCTTTGATATCCTCTGCAGGCAAAGATACATAAGCAATTTGTATTAATGTAGTTAATTAAGATAATATGATAGTAACAATCTATATATTAATAAACCTGTATCCAGTTGCTGCAGAAAGTTTGATCTTGATTTTCTCTTCATAGGGTTGATAAAAATATTCGCGCGAAACACTTCTGATCTCCTCCATAAGGGAAATAGGGATGCCATGCCCTTTCTTCAAGATTGCCAAACAGAGAACAAGAACAGGGTCATATGTACAAACACATTATATGTAACTGCAAACTATACGTGCATTGAAAATACTGAGTTCAGATGAATCTGCCTCCTCCCTTGTCTATTTTACCAACTAGTATACTATGTCAATCGATGTAAAATAATGTTAGTGTAGAGAAGAAACAATTACCACATAAAAGAATCCAGCATGTCTACAAGCATGATCTAATTGTCTAACAACTTGAGCTACACCTTCATCTTGGGCCACATTTGGATGATCCCACTTCTCCAAAAGAGCACTTATATCTGTTTCATATAAAAAATACTACTAAAATTAATTGAATGTTCTTAAAGCAAAGTTTTAATAACCATAAAACTAATAGGCCACACAGTCACAGAGGATGAAATGCTTTTGTAGTTAAAAACACTAAAAGCAAAATCATGAGAAGTTGAAAAGAGGGCTTCAAATTTGGTTTGAAAATTCAAACCTATTAGAGGGATAGACTTGAAATCCATAACCATGATGCTTCTGATTTCTGAGTATATTATTATGTTTCATTCAACATTACTACATAATACTACACCATATATATATATATATAGACAATAATATCCCCTTTTGTACATGCATTTAAAAATAATTTTGTAGTTATTTTAAGATATTTTTGATTTACTACGTATAAGTCTTTGTAAAATAAATTTGCTATCGTTAGATAAATGTGACATTATGCCGTAAATACGAGTTAAAATCAATGACACCGCAGCATGTTCCTCATAATTATTATTCCTTCTGTTTTACAAAGAATGAACTAGTTTGACTTGACACGAAATTTAAGAATACAAAAAAGACTTTAAAGTTGGGTCAAATATACAAAATAATCCATTGATCTCGTGGCCTTAAACATGCCATGTTGAAAGTTGTTAAAAAAAAAAGTCATTCATTTTTAAATATACTAAAAAGAAAGGAGGTCACTGAATTTTAAAGCTTACTGTCTATTTGAGCTGTCTTATTTGGTGTTTCTAAGTTTTTTTTTAAAACAGTATTTGTATAACATAAAATAGTACTTTAACACACTTATTTTTAATCAAAATTATACAAATAAATCTAAGTTATGAATTCTAATTTAAACTTTTAAGTCAAGCTCATCTAGATATACTCTTAACGATTGACTTAAATTTAGCTTATTTTGAACAAAAAAGGCCTAAAATAACTTTGAAGTATTGAAAATTGTACAAAATTACCCTCCATCCACCTATTGGCTCCAAAATGCCCTTCTCATCTACCTATTGGCTCCAAAATACCCTTGTCATCCACCTTTAGGTTCAAAATTGACCACTTATTTAATTTTTTAAAAATTAAACTCTTTAAATATTTTTTAAAATACTTGGTGTTCAACTATTGGTTATAATTTAATTTAGTAATATAATTTATAAACCAACCCACTACTCACGCAAAACTAATTAAACCGCACCCAATTAAAAATCCATTTATAAAATCAAAGTCGCCATAAACACTACTAAGACAGGATGTAATTATAGATTTCTGAAAATGAAATCCAAATTTATTTGAATCCGAACCGAAACCCCAATTAAATTTAGGTTGAGCCACTTATTTAGGAGGACACTTTCAATAAGATTCTCTTTCAAGATTGAATTAGAAATTTATGATTAAAGGTAAAGAAGTAATACATCCCCAATTAATTCATGCACTTTTTTTAAAATATAATTTTATAATATTTATGATTTGTTTTAAAACCTTTAATATATTATTTTGAAATTTTTTTACCTATGAAGTAACATCACATAATTGAGACGTAACAACAATTAAGATGAACATAGTCAGATTTTAAGTTTATCGATAATTTTTATTTAGAAACTTGAATGTATGATAATTTACTTCTATAGATGTTTTCAACTCAAATTTTTAAAAAACACTCAATTGACAATAGTTTTTCTGTTGTTACATTAATAATGTGACGGATTATTAATTTGGAGGGGTTTAATTAATAATGGGTGGGTAGTGGATTGATTTATAAATTATACTAATAAGTTAAATTATAACAAATAGTTTAGCACCACGTATTTAAAAAAATATTTAAATAGCTTAAATTTAAAACCGTTAAATAAATGGTCAATTTTGAACCAAAAGGTGGATGACAAGGGTATTTTGGAGCCAATAGGTGGATGGGACGGGTATCTTGGAGCCAATAAGTGGATGGAGGGTAATTTCATACCATTTTCAATTCTTTGACAATATTTTAGGCCCTTTTCCGTTTTTTGAATGTTTTAATCGAAAATGTCTTTTAATCATTAGCTAGTTTGGTGGTTATGTGAGAGCCAGGCAGCTCCATGTGGAAATCAGTTAGTGACAGGGTGTGTTTTGGGTACAAACTACAAAGGAAGTATTTATTCAAACAAATAATTGACCAAATTAAATTGAGAAAATTGAAAAATTAGTAAGTATTTTTCTTTCAATACTACAGAAAAACGGGGAATTTATAACAGGAATCTTTTTTTTTCTTAAATATAGTTTCTAATTGAAACAGGAGCAGATCATGGCACCGTCATATATCATATGATACTTCTATTTTTTTTGGTTTCGAACTCTTCATTTGAAAAAAAAAAGATTGCTTCTCTGGGAAAGCTTAAAACAGTTTTCTGTCACAATTCACAAACACTCAACCATGACTCACTTCAACGAGGTCTATGCTGACAGAGTTTTGAATACAAAAATCCTAAATATATTACGAGTCCTAGTTATACATTAATATGCTAGACGATCCTAAGAATCCTTATCTGATAAATATAGGAGTCTCAATATATGCATCTCCGATATATATTATTTGATTTATGTTAATTTAATATAATTCTTATGAAAAATTAATTAAAATATATTTTTATCTTTTGGACTTTACTGTTTCTATTTAGGGAAAATTATATATAATAGCAAACTAATAACCTAAATTAAATGGAATAGCTAGGATTTGATTTAATTGTGCTCCATAACAAACATTAGCTAAAATTTGCCAGCATCTCTCTCCCAAAAATCTCGCTCGCCACTCTCCATTCTCGCTCGCCTCTCTCGCTTTATACACAGAAGTGTATAATTCTGTTTCTGTATTGTATAAAGCGAGAGAAAATTGTATATACACATGCAAAAATATATATCTTCGTGTTATATACTTAATTATATAATTTACAAACATTTTACTTCAAATATTGCAGAGAAAAAGGCCAACGAATTATATAATTGTGAATTATACAATTGCAGTGAAATACAATTTTCTCTAGCTTTATACAACAAAAGTGTATATATTGTGTTTCTGT